GGAAAGCTGGCCCGAGCTAGTTTTTATCCCGTTAACAAATCTGCATACTTAAAAGAAAATGTTTGTAAATGGTAATGACTGAAATTATAATCCCATTCTTTGAGTAGGTATTTATTATATTTTTATGCCAATTTTTCCTAAAAACCAAATTGAAAAAAACTCATAACTAAGCCAAAAATGCATTAATTTCAATTCGGAAACCTTTTCTATGCTACTTTTTATTAGGTTAATAAATCTGCATACTCAATTTAAAATTTTAGGAAATTGAATTTTTTGCCAATTTTTGGCAATTTTAATGATGTAATGATGATTTTTTGCAAAAATGGAAATATTTTTAAAAATTTCGATTTCTTCAAGACATGCCTAGATCGACTCAGCTGTTGATGCTGATCAAGAATATATATGATTTATAGGGTCGGAAATGACTCCTTCGCTATCTTTTAAGCTTCCGACTGAAGGTGCAATACCATATTTTATCAATTTTTACGCCAATTTTTTCTAAAAATCAATTTTTAAAAAATTCATAACAAAGCCAAAAATGCGTTAATTTTAAATCGGAAAGCTGGCCCGAGCTAGTTTTTATCCCGTTAACAAATCTGCATACTTAAAAGAAAATGTTTGTAAATGGTAATGACTGAAATTATAATCCCATTCTTTGAGTAGGTATTTATTATATTTTTATGCCAATTTTTCCTAAAAACCAAATTGAAAAAAACTCATAACAAAGCCAAAAATGTGTTAATTTTAAATCGGAAAGCTGTCCCGAGCTAGTTTTTATCCCGTTAACAAATCTGCATACTCAAAGAAAAATGTTTGTAAATGGAAATGACTGAAATTATAATCCCATTCTTTGAGTAGGTATTTATTATATTTTTATGCCAATTTTTCCTAAAAACCAAATTGAAAAAAACTCATAACAAAGCCAAAAATGCGTTAATTTTAAATCGGAAAGCTGGCCCGAGCTAGTTTTTATCCCGTTAACAAATCTGCATACTTAAAAGAAAATGTTTGTGAATGGTAATGACTGAAATTATAATCCCATTCTTTGAGTAGGTATTTATTATATTTTTAACCCCTTATCATTTTTTGCAAAAATGGAAATATTTTTAAAAATTTCGATTTCTTCCAGACATGCCTAGATCGATTCAGCTGCTGATGCTGATCAAGGTAAATAACTCTTTTACTTAGTTTTAAGCTTCTGGCTGTAATTATAATACCGTTTTTTGATCGACATTAACTATATTTATATAAATCGAATATAGACAGAGGATACAGCTTACTTTAAATGAGTAAATAGAACATAAAACTGTATGCGGCAGAGTGAGTTTTATTAAAAAATTTACTATAATAATTAATAATAATTAACCATATTTTTTTTTAGCCTGACATGTAAGATGTTTATTTTTTCACACAATGTTTAACATATTTGAATGCTTTAACTAAGTGACAAACTAACTATCTATTATAACGACATTTATAACCAAATGATTATAAACAAATTCTAAACATTACCCCCATTTTGACTGCTGACATTGACGGTCCCGGGCTCTTCGACTGAAAATTCATTTCGACCGTAAAACATGATAAGCTAAAAAATGCCGGTTCTTTCAATAAAAGTGTCAATTGGCGCCGGAACGTGGAGCAGCAAAGGGGGAATAGGGTGGAATGGCTGAAGCAAGTGGCAGGTAAACAAACAGCAGCTAAACATTTTGCCGGCGCTGTTTGGTGTCGTGTCGGCAGCCAAGCCCCATGGCAATTGGCCATAAATCTAAGCCAGCGCCATTCACTTTTTGTTTTCTTTATATTCGCAGAGTTCAACCCACTCGCGATCGGCAGCTGCTGCTGCTGCGTGTGCACGCAAATCCATGAACGCATGACGCATGGCAAACTTGGCCAAAAGCCACCTCCTCCTCCTCCTCCTCCTGCTCCACCAACGACTCCAAGTTCTTTAAATGCAAGTTCAAGTTTACGCACTTTGCGGCTTCCTGCTCCGAACGGGTTCGACGCACTTGGCCCGAACGCACATTGCGCATTTCTGGTTTCTGGCCACGCAGAATCAAGCTCAACTTGGCCCACTCCGGTGGCTTTAGTTTCCACCTTTATTTTTTTGTTTTTTTTTTTTTTGCAAATGATTTTTAACGCATTTCGCATTTTTTTTGAGCTTCTGTTTAGCTTAGGAAAATTTATGATATAGCCTGAAGATTTTCCAGTAAGTGAGAGTTTATTGAAAACTTTTCTGATTAAACAAAGACGTATATTAAATATTAAGAGGTATAATAAGTATGCTTCAAAGTTGTAAGTTTATAACATGCAACATGCAACTTAAAAGATTAAAGATACTTAAAGATTAATATAATTCAATAAATAGCAAAACAAGAAGTATTTATAAATGCTACATTTAAATTTAAAATGTTTCACCGAAACCCCTTAGAAAAACCTTCCAACTTAACTCTTTCTTGGATTATGAAATTTCAAAAGCTATCTACAAAACTGAAATATTTGTAAAACATTTTCTTCAAGAGCATCTATGGTTATTACATCATGTTTTAGAGCAACCACTTTGCTTTTGGCTTGTGTGGGCGATGAGCTATTGAATAAGGTCAGTGTTCCGTCGAAGGATCGAAGCAGAACTCGTTCGCCGCGTGATTCATTCCGCAGAACCAGAGATCAGAACGGAGTGGTTACTTCTGGACACTGGCAATCGATTTGCATGGGGCTTAGTTGAAAACACCTCGAAAATTCAGACCCAGAAGCACACGATATGACTGGCTTTTCGATTTCGTAATGGGTACCTCGTGCAGCTTTCTTATCCGCACCCACAACTGGTTGGCTGTTGGCCTAAATATAGTTCAGCCTGGCTTTATTTCGGACTTTTTGCAACAACCTGCAACCTGAGTGAGCGACAAGTATCTCTCGGATTGCATGAGCTGCAAACAAACTGCAAACTTGTTGCGCGCACACACTCGTTCAGATTTTTGTTTGTGATTTTTTTATTATTACTATTTTCGTGTGGCAACTTGGAAAAGGTGCCCCACAATTCCAGGCATTCCACCAGGCCACTTGCTAACGCCTTGAGCACACTCTGGTCCAAGATCTGGCCAAGAACCCTCAGTTGAAAAGCTCTCCGTTGGCCAAGAGTTGTGACAGTTGTGTAGTGACAAGCGCGGCCACAAAAGTGGTTAATTACTCTAATGACCACTGGACGGCCGCTTAGCATACTAATTGTAATTGGATTAATTACCCGCAGATCTATAAGATCGCATATCTCGATCGAAAGGGGTACCAATTGATTTAATTTTCGATTTGCTTTGCTTGTAATTGCATCAACAGAGGTATTTTTTAAATTTATTTTTTATTTTTTGGTAAAATACAGCCTCTTGGAGGCTGCCCACTCGCGAAATTCCTTTGCCACAGTCCAAGTGTGATTGCCTTTTGTGAGTTAGTTAAATTAATTCGAATAACAATAAACAGGACATAAAAATGGTCGATTTTAGACGAACTTTAGTTGATCTTAGTTCTTCTAGTTGTTTTTAAACATTTACAGAACTTGTAGAAAAATAATTAACATTTTATAAGATTAAACTAAATCATAAGTCTATTCCCTTGAAGCATTAAATATTTTAGATTGCATAAACTTGCGTAGCAATTAAGATCTTAATAATGTAAGCTACAGAACTAAAAAAAAATGCTGCTAGTTTTGAGATATTTTAATATAAGATTAAATCAATTTCCTAAGGGAAACATAGACTCTAACTAAATTTAACATGTAGTGCTGGGTAGGTATGTAGACCAAATTAAATAATGAGCCGTAAGCCAGAGGTGTTTGGCGGTGTGGGCGGAAATGCTGGTTACCAAATTCACGTTGCCACTTGCAGGCTGCCACAAAAGTCTGGCTCTTTGGGAGTTGCAACAATCGGCAGGCCCGCAAATTGAATTTAAACGTGGCCAACATTGATTTTCTCCCCCCGTCCAAGCCGATCGATTTGGCCCCACTGCACCACCTCGCCACTCGATAATTAGTTTTGTTCTGTTTATGCGATTTTAATGCGGAATTCGCTTTGGTCTGGCCAAAATGTGGGCGTTGTCCGTCTGGGAGCTGTGATAAGGACCAACTATATAAGTTGGCTTTGGCTGGCGGCGGCCTTAGCATGATGCAATCGGGCGGTGAGATTGCAACAAAGGCTTTGCAGCTTGGCTTTGTGTTATTAAAATGCCATTAAAATTGGGCCAAACGGTAAATTCGATATGCAGTCAAACAAATAAAGCCACAGGCAAGCATTTAATAAACAAACAACAAATTAACTCTGGGTATAAAATATATAAAGCAACTAACAAGTAAAGAGATAAAGATCAATTAGAATATTAAGATTAAATCGTTAAATATAAGATAACAACTAATTCAAATTATAAATTATAATAAAGAATAGGTTTTATTATATACATATCTCTTTAAAAAGAATCCATTTAAACTATACTTTTCATAATAGTTTATGTAACTAAGGTCTTGACTGTACCTGCAACTTGGCCACAAGCTGGGGCACACGTCCACATTTGTGGCACATTGTTTTTATTTTTGTTTTCATTTTAATTTATTTTGTTTTTTGGTTTGAATGCAGCTTGTGCAACTGCCACGGCGTCACTCTGATTTATGCCACTTGACCGGACCGGCAGCCCGTGTCCGCTGTCTCGGCGACTTAGGAACATAACGCCTTGTCGCTCGGACGCCTGCGCATAAGCCGGAGTTCTGGTTCTCTGTCCAAGATCAATGCCAGCTTGGCGGAGATCGTGGATTGCGGATTGCGGATTGCGGATCACAGATCGCAGATCGTAGATCTGAATTGATCGCGCTGCTCATGCCGGGCCAATGGTTGTCCGGAATTCGAGGCGGGGCCACTGCCAACAAAATAAGCAGAGTGGGAGTTTTTCTATGTTTTAGTATTCAGAGCACCTGGCCACATAAAGCATATATTTATGTAAATATTTGTAAACAGCAGAGGGAGTATTCTACAAGACAGGTATCTCTCTTTGTCCAGTTTATTTAATGGATTTTATACTGAGGTCACCAGGTCACACATAAAACATATGTATGCAAAAACAAAGCATTTACATTCAACACAAAAGGACCAGTAACCTCATATAGCTCCATCTCCACCACCGCAGCCTCAGCTTCTTTCCTTCTAGACCTTGTAGCCCACAAAGTGACGGCGTCCAATGACCTCTCCCATGTAGAACCAGGTAATCACCTCCACGGTGACCAGGATATTGAGCCAGGCCTCGCAGACGGTCACCTCGCCAAGGCGGACCTTGCCCAGCTTCGCCTTGACGTCCTTTGTGGAGCCCGTTGACGTGGCGGTCTTCTTCAGCTTTTGGAAGTCCGCAGGCAACGGAGGAGATAGCTCCACCTTGGCATAGCGCCAGAACTCGGCCAACTGGGGACGAGCAGCCACAACCATTTCTGGGGAAATACATTGGATCTTACAATTGTTCTCTTTTCTTCTTCTAAGGAGAGTAAAACTTACGATTGGCCAGAGCCTGGACCTTGGCAACCAATTGACTCATCTTGGTTATTGAAAATAAAAGACAGAAATAATAATTTCGTAAAATTTTTGCACAATTTCAGGGAGACACGTTGTCTGTCGTACAAAGTTATCAAAAGTTATCATAGAGTTGACAAAGTTTAACAAATGTTTGACGTTTCTACCAAAAGGATACTCTACACGAAACCGATAGGAATAGGTATTTTATTTTATTATTAATAATTACTTTATAATTATTATAACAGAAAGAAAGATAAGATATTAATAAAGAAATAAAAGTATATACAATATATTATGTACATATATATTATATTTTATTTTATATTGATTGCAGGTAATTTCATCACATTACGATATAAGGTTCATTCAAAAGGGTTTGTGTAAACGTGACATTAGAAGCTAAATACGAAAGGATTTTAGGATTGTAGCCTGTAATAGAATGAAAGCGGTAATCCATCATAATTAAGTTTTTTTTATAGATATTTTATATGCCAATATTATCGATAAATCAATACTTAAAAAATCATAACTAACTCATAAGAGCATTAATTTTTATTCTGAAAGCTGTTCTGTGTAAGTTTTTATTAGGTTTAAAAACTATATGCTCCATTTAACATTTTAAGATATTCAAAATTTTCGAAATTTTGTACAATTTTCACAATGTAACCCCTTATAAAATTATGAAAATATTTAACAAATTAAATTTTACCCAGACATAGCTAGAAATATGTGCCTTTTAATGCTGATCAAGAATATCATATATGTATATGATTTATAGGGTCGCAAATGATTCCATCACTGAGGTTCAAGCTTCTGACTAAAACTATAATACCCTGGAAGGGTATAATAAGCCTACACTTGTTTTGGCCTAAATCAAAAACCATATATTTAGTATATCAAAAAATTAAGATTATATAAACTATACTTATAAAAATATATAATTATAAATTAAATAAATACGTAGTTTTTCCTTACATTGTTAAGACGGTAGCAAAAGTTGTTAAATATTAAGGATTTTTTTCTATAAGAAAATTAATATTCAATGAACGTTCTCTTCTATTATTTTCTTATAAATATAAACATCCCTTATTCCATTTTCATATTCAAAACTATAACTTAAGACAAGTATTAAGTGCTGTTTTTTTAAATTTAGTTTATGCTAACCATTACCATTGGGAACATGATTTATTGCCATGCAAAATATGTTTTAGAAAAATTTGCATAATTGCTTTGAAACGTGGTCAAGAAAAAAAAGCAAAACTGCACCAATTACTTGATTTTCGGCGCGATAAACTGACCGATCATTACTAAACCGACGAGATTATTACTGGAGCAGAGACCGCCCACTTGATAGCTTTAAACAATGGTAGGAATAAGTATAAAATAGGCAAGAAAAACACGCCCTGAAAATGCTATATATATATATGTATATATTGGCCAGCATTGTCTGCTGCTCTCTGGCCCGGTCATCATAATGAGAAATCTGAAAAGTTGGCAATAAAACGCTGGATATATTTCGCCATCGATCTGTATTGGGCATAATGCATAATTCATATTTTAGGCGCTGGCAGGTTTTTGTGTTAATGAAGCTCTAATGGAGCCTAGGTGAAGGGCTCTTAATGCTCTTGTTTCTTAGTTTTATTTTTTTCGCAGACTCGATCTAATTGCGCCAGTTAGACGACTTCGAGTATGACATTCCTTTGCCAGACCCTATGCATAATCATAAATATTGGCCATGATTAATGGACCGTATTTTTTAAGCTGCAGCTGTCTTCTAAATGGTTCCGAGTCCAAGTCCACGTCTCGCACACACGATTAATTTGACACTCTGACCCTCGCCGGAAAAGCGGAAAAACGTGTCTGCATGACGACAATTTCCACTTCAATTTCAAGTTGAACCCGCAATTGGCCCAAACATGGAAATGTAGACCAATTCAATTCGTTTTTTGCAATGCTATTTTGCATTTTTATTGTTTGCCAATGCGCTCTCTGACAGCCTTTGATTATATTTATTCTTGGGCGTTGCCCCGCCACAATTTTCAATACGATTTCCTATTTTTGCCAGTTGCCGCAGCAAAAAAAAGGCAAAACTGCACAGGCTAATTGTTTATTTAAAAACACTGCGAAAAAGTTGAGAATTTCGAAAGCATTTCAGAAGAATTTGCGGAATTCAAGCAAATACAAACGAAATACACGACCTTGCTGAGGTCAGTACATTTCTCTTGGTTTGTTTTTGCCAGAGGAAAGATGTTTGTTAAATATAAACAAGCGTGAATATTACAATATATTAGTGCACAATTATTTTATTTTTATTAGTAAATTAAAACTAAATTGAAGTTTAACAAAAAGGAAGCTAGCTTCATGATCTTCAGTAAGATAATTAAACTGTTGCTATTTTGTTGTATATGGACTACAATTTTAATAAGGAAATAGGTAAATACTTGCACATCTGAAGAACAAATAGTTTAAATTACTTTCAGTAGTAATAGTAGTAGTAGTTTTCCCTAAACTTTAAATACTACATTTTATTAAATACATTCTGCCCTTTCTTAGAATCAATTTCCTTGTTAAGCAACATTCTGCTTCTTTCACAATCACAACAACCATCGATTACAGAAGGATTGTGACGCTTGACTGGCCATTAGGCATTTAAAACGTAATTAATTTTATTGCATTGATTAAGTCATTGCAGTGGCAAAGTTCTAGCCAAGTTAAGCCTTGGGCCTGGGCACCTGTAATTGCAGTGTAGGCACGCGACGTTACCTGGCTCTCCACCAAAATTCCATTACGTGCCCCAAGCTGCAACGTAAAACACACTCATGCCCAGAGAATACGAATACGAATACGAATACGAATACGAATACGATATATATAATTGCCCCAAAGAATTCTGAAAGCTAATGCAAAGGCAGACCCAGCCAGAGACCAAAGTCGGTGTGCCTTGGCAAATTGAATGCTTTGGGCCACCACCGGCCACATGCTTATGACTTTTTAAATGTGTTTGTGCTCTTTATCAATATAATTTGGTGTTTGTGGCAATTTCCAGGCCCCTGATTGGGCCAAGCCGATTGTGTCGGCTCTGAAATACCTATGTTTATGTTTATGTGAGTCCGTGTTTCACCCTCGGCTCTAAATTCTTGTCTGTACGATCGGGCTTCACTAAATTGGATTATTATGTCTAAAAACTAACATAGAACAGCTTTCCGAATCGAAATTAATGCTTTTTTGGCTTTGTTATAATTAGTTTTGTTTGCAAAGAGGAAGGGTTTCCCGAAGTTTGTTTCTTGTTTTAACTAATAATTTCAACCATATAAAGAGTTTTTGTAATAGAAGAACATTAAACTATTTCTTTGGCTTTATTCCAATCTCACTTTTTTGTAACTTAAATTGTCTAAGGTCCATTTAATACATTGCCTTAATTAATGAATACCCATTAATCAGATGGCTTAAGTGTTATGGATTTCGCATTTCTCGTTAACTGATTGCTTATAACTTGTACATATTATTGGTATTTATTATTGGCATCGGACTAGTAGAAGTTCGACTGTGGTAATTTGCGCAACTATCAACGCCCGCCGCCCCTTTAGTCGTGGGAGCGAGGGGTGTGGCTGGGTTGAAGGAGGAGCGGTACTGGGAGCGGAAGGCGAGAGGCGGGAAGCGGGAAGCATCACCCCCAGGCGTAGATCTTCGAGCTGCTGCACCAGCAGCTGGGCAGTGAAAGGCCACAGAGCCGGCGGAGTGCACCCATTCTGGCCGAGACTTGGACTTGGGCGTCGGCGGAGCTCCAGCGCCTCTCTCGCCGCCATTCGCCTCTCTTTTGGAAGGCAGGTTTCGGTTTCAGATTCGGATTTGGTTTCGGAAAAGCCAAGCAAAGTCCGCGCTGCGCTTTTCGTATAAAAGTTGCCACATTTTGGTAGTCGAAATCAGAATCAACTCGTTCGCTGAGTATTCAACACTTCTCCTCCTTTTCAACTCAACCCAGCTTCAACACCCAACCCCAAAGCCAACATGAAGGTGAGGATAGTGCAATGCAAAGGACAAAGGACACCGGGGATTCCCCCAAAACTAATCCTTCTCCACACACAGTTCGCCGTTGCCGTAGTCATGTTCGTGTGCGCCCTGGTCGGAGCTCAGGCCTCGTGGGCCCAGATCTCGCCGGGAGTGTCCTATGTGAGCCCGGTGGCCCATGGTGGACCCGGACTGTGGAATGGGGCCTGGAATGGTGCCTGGAACGGTGCCTGGAATGGCGCCTGGAACGGTGGCCACTGGGGCGCCCCCGCTGCCGTTGCCGTCCATGCCAGCGCTGCTCCCTGGGGCCTGACCGGACCCGGCTGGGGTCATGGTGCCGCCATTCCCGGAATTGGTCTGGCCCAGGGACCCGGACACGCCGCCGGCGTTCATGGCCATGAGGGTGTCTATGTGGCCAAGACCCGTGGTGCCATCCACACCGCTCCCCTGGCCGGACACATCAACTCGGCCACCTCCGTGAATGTGGCCCCCGCCCCGGGAACCCTGTAAGCGGGGCCCAGTCCTGACTCCAGATCCCAACTGATGCCAAATGGAGTGGCCCTCCAGCCGCTCCACGACTCCGGATAAGCCCACACACACTTCTCTCACTCTCTGTACACTTATTTGTTAAGCACACCGAGCTCTTAGTCCCCCGCCCCTGATACGAACACGATCCTGATCTTGGGTCCCTGTCCATGTCATCCTCTGGACAAGATCCCAACGCACTCAGCAACAACAAATACAAGTCCAACAGCAATTACAACAACTGCAACAAGCGAAAAGAAAAAAGAAAAACAACAAACCAACAAACGACAGCATGTTCATTTTATTATTTGAGAACTATTCTTCAAATACCTTCCACTCTCTATCCTGTCTCTCTATCCTACTTCCATCTCTGCTATATCTACTATATCTACTATATCTCTCTGATCTATCACTACTCACGGGCATATCATCCTTGGATGCATATCCCTGACAACCTGTAAATATCCCATTGTAATCTAGTAACTCTCTGCAAAACAATGTAAAGATTGACGAAAGCGTTATAAATAAACTCAAACAGCGTTTTTTATACGAAATATTTCCGGGCATTATTTAATATTTTAGTGAAGTTTGGGGTACGGAAAATAAAGTGTAATTAATAAGAATTATTAAATAATATATATTGAAACTGAAATTCAAAGTTTATTTAAGTATTTATCAAAGGATTTTTAGCTTATTCTTATTCAATTATTTTATTTCAATATTTACTAAAGATTCTGGATGATATTCTAGATTTAAACTTAGTGCTTCAGCGTTACTCAATAATTTGTTATTTAAATCATTTTATTTAATTAAAAAAGTAAAGCTCTCTTATTTACTCTACTTGCTATTATTCAAAGCAATAGTAAAGTTTCTACAAATCATTTTATACTATATTTCATTGTTACCAATTCCATTTAAAACCTTGCAGTTACACCTTCCTTATAGCCAAGACAATGGATTTGGTCACTCATAAGAGTTAAACCCACTCGAAGCTCCAATTAAATCAAACTAAATAATACATAGCTCATATATATTAGTTAATTATAACCTTGATGCTGCACCTGCTCGACCTTGAAAGGCCGACAAATTGTTCAATTGATTTCATATCTGCCAAGAATGTGTCTTTGCTTTGTCTTTGGCTCAAGTGCTGCTGCCTCAAGTGTATATTATTATCTTAGTTGGCAGTCCTAATTTGCTTAGAGTCCACTCGGCTGAACGGTAGTCAAGTTGGGGTCCAAATGGTCGTTGGATCGAGTTAATAACGCCTGGGTCGCCTTTCGATCGCGTCACGTATTGGGAGCACAGGGCGTATGCTTAATTATGCAAACGCTTAGCACTAATTACAGATCGCAGAGAGCAGCCAAGTTTCGGTTTCGGTTTCAGTTTCAGCACCTGGGCTTAAATAATTGCCACAAATTATAGCAGTGGCTAATTACAGATTATCATCACTTTGGCAACTGCCTTAATTCTTTCAACTTGAACTCTTTATTTGGTTTTGGCCCATAGATTCGATCTCTCGCCCACATTGGCTGCAAAACACGTTCTTCCAAAGGGGTTCCCCTTTTGCCTTTTTTCGGCATAATTGAATTGTCTTTTTGCCGGCTTTTTGTCTGGGATTTAATTGCAGCCTCGTAATGGTTTTTCCATCGATTTATGTGGGTTGTTACAGGGACACCCACGCTGTCCCGGCCCATTTTGGCCAGGTGAATGTTGCACAATGCCTGCGGCTGCCTAGTGCCGGAATCCATTAGGTAATCGAAGGTGGAAATCATTAGGGAAATCAACATGGCTTTACTTGACAACAAATGATACAGCTGGAATGGCTTTTAGCGGAGATTTGGAATTTTCAGGGATTTAAATGGAAGACTATTGAGGAAGTTTTATAACTCCAACTTTATTTTTATTTTTAAATATAATGTATAAAATCCAATATTAATTCCCATTCTTTCCATACCTCTATCACTGTAATAAACAATTAAATTTAAGTACCAGAAACTGATCTTAATAACTCAAACTTTTCCCATAAATATGTATATATCAATAATGCATTCACTTATGTGGGCGTTTCCTGACATTACCACAAAGCACTAAGACCCTTAAGAGCTCATAAATCAGTTATTAGCCGGCCTTATACAGGATATCGATCGATCCATAATTGGATTCGTGTTGTAAATCATATATGTGTATAAACTCTGAGCACTGAAAATGCTAATCGGGCACAAACAACAATTAAGTAATTAAAGTGGCGGTGTGATGGAGTGAAAATGCAACTTACCGGAACTGCAGCTTAAAAGTGGGTTGGGCCACGAGATAGTTCTCTAGACTTCTCCATGGTTGAAACCACTTGTCACACTCACCAAAGAATGCATTTCTGGGGCAATGCAAGCTCGCAGTTCAGCTAACTAGTTCCTTAAATAACTTGGATAAATAAAAGATATTTAAATAAATATAATAACAAATGTTTAGTCCTTATATCTATCAATTACTATTCAATGCATATATATTTTTTACCATTGGAACAGCATATATTTTCACATTTCCTGGTTTAAATATACCTTAAATAGTTGTTACATTCTTTTAATTGTCAATAAACATATAAGTAAGTGGAGAACTAGTTCCTCAACGCGTCGTGGCCCCCGTGAGATCTCACTGCCGATAGATCTCAATACGAGCCCGAGTCCAATCCAATCCGATCCGTCCAGAACCGAGGCATGTCATTAACGCTGATCACATATGCATGCGGAGCAGTGTCAGGGCGGTGTCATGGTGTGTGAACTCTCACTTTCATGAACCCTCCTCCGACGTCAGTTGCCGCCGGAGCTGATGTGGTCAGCACCGGGGTATAAAGCTGGCCGCCAGCGGCGTTAACAGATCAGTTCAGAACAAGAGTTCAACAAGAGCGCCAACCCAAAACCCACCTTCAAGCATCATGAAAGTGAGTTATTTTAAAGGGATCGATATCCTTTTATTTTTAAAAAGGAAAAAAAAAACGATATAGTGGATATATTCTTCAATTACTTCTCTGGATTGCAAGCTCTAACTCTACAATTTAAACAATTAACAAATTAATTAATAATATACTACAATTACTTATTACCTTTCGACTTTTTTCAGTTCGCCGTCGCCGTTGTCTTCACCCTGGCCCTGGCCATGGGCGTGCAGTCCTCCGTGATCCCTCTGCTGTCGCAGGTGGCCGGACATGGTCTGTCCTACACCGCCGTCTCTGGACCCGCTGTGGTGGCCTCCCCCTGGGCCGTTCCCGCTGCCCACTGGCCCGCCGCCGTGAATGTGGCTTCCTGGCCTCCGGCAGCTGTCCATGCTCCCGCTGCCGTGGCTGTCCATGCCGCTCACGCTCCCGCCGTGGCTGTCCATGCCGCTCATGCTCCCGCCGTGGTTGTGGCTCCGGTTGCCCATGAGGGCGTCTACACTGCCCAGACCCGCGGAGCCATCCACACCGCTCCCCTGGCCGGACACATCCAGTCGGTGGCCTCCATCAACGCTGCTCCCGCCCCCGGAACTCTGTAAAAAGGATGCTGGAGAATCAAAATCCATTCCTGAACTGATCAGACCCTTGCCGCTGCCCTTTGGAAACTGCCATTGATGGTGGGAAGCCCCACTCATTACCTACACCACTGCTTTGTAAATACATTGTATATATAGTCCTATATATAGACAGGGTACTCGCACCTAGCACCTGAACAGGAGCTACTTCCACACACCTGACTCTCCACGAAACTGAGCCATCAAAATTCCCTTTCGACCCCTTCGAGCACTCCTTTTCTCGCTTACCTATTTATTTAGCATACATTTTCCAAGCATTCCTGTGAGAAAACCTATCTGCACCGAACTTTCCTTCAAAGAATATGCCAAAAGCATTGTCGGCGAGGAAATGTTGGAACATTTTGCAAATAAAGAAAATGTTACTAAAATTTAAATGAATTTTACTATGGGAAATTATAGTGTAGAGGGTTTAAATTAAGAAAATAACTTTTTGATGTTGAGATTATGAAACATTTTAAATTATAAAAGAGTTTTTAGCAAAGAAAATCATTCTCAAAAAATATAAATAGAACCAACGGTACGTATGAGCAATATCAAGTATACGCACTGTGGGACCAAGGTTGGGAAAATTGAGAGCCACAATTATACAACATTTTTATAAGCGAAAAGCATTCCTGTGAGAAAAACCTAACTGCAACGAACTTTCCTTTGAAGGAAATCCCAAAAGCATTGCCGACGAGGAAATGTTGAAACATTATGCAAATTAAGAAAATGAAATATTTTAATATTTTACTTAAATTTACAGTTTAGAGGGTTTAAATTGAAAAAATAACATTTAGATTTTCTTTTTGTTGATCCTTTTAAATTATAAAAGAGTTTTATGGAAGTTGTTAAGAAAAAAGTATATAGAACCAACGGTACGTATGAGCAATATCAAGAGAGCCACAATTATACAAAATTTTTATTAGTGGAAAGTACCCTATAACCGTTTAAAAAAGGCTCTGAAACCAATTTTTAATTTCCCTTACTTGTTGTTAAAAATGAAATAAATAATGCATAAGGTAACGCTCTTAAATCGGAGCTAACTGCTCTGCTTTAAAATAAGCACACTGGACTTTGTCAGCTTGAACTTGTTTCTCCCCGCCTAATAGATCAATTGACTACACATAATTGCAGGCCACTAAAACGAGTTCAAATTACCCACAGCTCTGATGACTACAAAAAAAATACAAATAAATAAAACGCAAAGAGTGATAAATTCCCCAGTGACCAGAGTCAATTAGTATACAAAGTCCGCTGGCTCGGAAACTATTATCTCAGCGTTACGCCTTCGAATACATTTGATTGATTCATTGACTGAAATTGTCGCAAATGTGTAGATCCATGTATATATAAATATGTTTATGGGAAGGCGATTAGAGCGACGCAATTGAATCGAAAGCTGAAATGTCAAGTTCATGCGCATGCGCACGGTCGCCAGCGGCGTTCGAAATGCAAAATGCAGCCGCAAATCACACAAATCAAATTGGATCGGCCGCTCCCTCGTCTCACACACTTGTTTTTTGTTTCTCCCTTTTGTTGTCTTGTATTTTTCTTTTGTTTTTTCCTGCAATAACTACAGTAGAGCCCAACTGTTGCGTGACATTCCACGACCCGCCAAAGCCCCCCATTTCCCCCATCAAGTTCCCAGCTGCGGTTTACAGAGTCTCGCGCTTGTTTTTCATGTTTTCGCGTTTGTTGCCGCATTTGGCTTTGGCCGCTAAATGAAATGCGTCAGAGTGTATCAATAACAGCCGAGCCAATGGAAACACCTTCTAAGCCTTTGGGGGTAGGCACTGGAAAAAATAAGTTGTTAAAAGTATAATATATACAACAAAATTGTAGATAAAACAAACAAGACTAAGCTTCAAATACAATTCATGTTTCACATGATCACTAAGTTTTTAGTTCCTTCTGCTAATATTTTTAAATCTTTAAACTCAATAATAAATTTTAGTAAATTTTTTCTCTCTTCAACTCCTGAAGATTGAATCGGCAGCTGTGAACCAGCGACTGCAATGATTTATTGTATGCCGGCGGCCAAAGAGTCAAGCGTCAATCGTGTCGACAGTCACTCCTTTCCTTACTTGGTGGCCCGGCTCGAAAAATGGCTAGAAATTTCCTACTGGGCTTCGTTTTTGGCAATAGCCGGTAATTGACCGGCATCCACAACAGAAAAAAACAAAAACAAAATGAAAGAAAAAGAGAAAATCACATACGAGTCGCTCGGGTCAACAACGAATTTGGAAAATTGCTACGACTTGAGGTGGTTTATAACCACTTAATGTGTACCATTTATTTTAAAGCAATCGAAAGAATAGATTTATCAATTCTATTTTATTTCTTGTCTGTATTTAATATTTAATTATTATGGAACTTCCATTTCCAACGGGAATAATATTAACCTTCGAAATTATTTAAGTTTGTTATGAAATCATTTTGTATTAATTAAATAGCTAAACAAAAGGGAGGAAAATGAAATGAATTATTAATTTATATACTATTTTAATTTAAACACTTACAATTAATTTAATTTCCTTCCCTTTTTTAGTGACTCACTTCACCTGTAGAGCATTTAAAGCTTACTCTTGCCTAAAGCGCGCTCTTTCTTTCTTGCTGTCACTCTTTTTTTTAGCATTTCTCCCAAAGAGCAGCAGATTTGCGATAAGAGACAGCAGCAAAAGCAAAAGCAAAAGCAACACCAACAACAGCAGCAGCAGCAACAGCAAACAGCAGCAACATTTCGCATTTGCAATGTCTGACATTCGGCGACTATCTGGCTGTATTTTTTACGCTTCAGTTTTCAGTCGCTCTCTGGCAGACGCGCCGCCGACAACGTGCGTCGCAGTCCCGAATCCGCCACCGATTTGGGTTCAGATCGAAATCCGCAGTCGCCCCGTGCATTATATGTTAGCAGGAGTTTCGTGCGTGATTGCGAAAAGTGTCGCCTTTGGCGAGGAAATAAGTAAAGTGCATTGTGTGTGCGAACTGCAAGTGCAATGCTAATGTGAGTCGCCAGATTCCACAGATTACGTCCAGTGGATGATGATGATAAGGAGCGACGCCAATATCGCCAATTATATACATACATATATATACATCTATATTTATATATATAAATACGACGCATGGGAATGGGTTAAGTGGTGGCATTGGGGAGGAGGGCTTTGGTAGTGCCCACGGACTTGGCCAACACTTTGCGTCTTTCGCTCACAAACAAACACAAAATGTTTACGCACAGGGAAAGAAAATATTGGCCATAGTATTAGTTATTATTATTTTCATTACATCCGCCTTACATAAAATGTTACACAAAATTTTCTAATTAATATATAATGGCTATATATGAAATTTGATGAAAATCTGTTAAAAACTGGTAAAGTTATAATTATTTTCCTTAAAATTTATATAATAAATATATAATGTACATATTTATATATAGTCCACCGATTCGCCATGATCCGATTTATAACTAGTAAAATTAAATAGAAGAATAACTCCATAGTTTCATTCAAATAGCTTAAATTTATTCCAAAACAAATCTCGCACATGTAAGCATATGATTCTCAAATGGTTCTAACATCCCCGGAAGGAAGTGACTTCTGCCGGCCATGTCTCAGTGAAGTGTTGTGTTGCAAAAGTTGCAAGTCATTGTTTATTAGTGTTCAAAGTTAGTAACTGATCATACATAGTTACTGGTCATAGATACTTACTGTTCAGAGTTACTTACTGGTCATAGATACTTAGTGTTCAGAGTTACTTACTGATCATACCTAAATACTAATCATAGTTAATTACTGATCATAGTAACTTCATGTTAAAAGATACTTACTGATCCTCTCCATTTGACAACCGTTTCTCTGGCAGTTATATTATGTAGTAATCCGATTTTTATAAAGTAAAAACGAAATTCTATAATAATAAATAATGGCTTTGAATTAAAAAACAATAAATATTTCTAAAATGAATTTCTTTAGCTAAGCCCTATGTTAATTTTCTCACTGTACCCCTACTATATATACATATGTGTGTGCTTTCTTCTTGGCCATTTCCATTTCCAATTCCATTTTTATTTTGTTTCTTTCTTTTTCGATATTTTTGCAAATTTATTGCGCACACTTGAGTGTTTGTTTGTAAACATTTCGATTCAACTAATTGGACACGTTCGCCGCATTCGGTGCACTCGCTAATTTACTCATTTCTACTCATAAAACGAAGCCACACCAAATTATCGACGTCATCGTAAACATCGGCGTAAAAGTGAGGGATAAAACTAAAAAGTGGCGAATTTCACTCGAATTACACAATTCCCGGGGAGGAGGTTCAAAACAAAAAACAGCTGATTTTTTGAACAGCTTACACTTCTCCCCCCGGAATGGCCTTACTTGTTGAAATGTTTTCGAGAGAGAGAGGAAGGAGAGAGAGAGAGCGAGATATTCGAGAGAGCCACCAGTACGTATGAGCAATGTCAAGTATACGCTCTGTGGAACCACCGGCGAGAAGAGAAGGACAGAGAGAGAGAGAGAATCATCAGCTGTCCATTGCCCCCGTTCATCCATTTCTTTACCTTCTCCGTGCTGTCCGCTGCATTGTTTTTATATTCCGATTCCGATTCCGATTCTGTTCGATGGCATTCTTCTTTGTTTTTATTTTAAATGGACTTCCTTCAGTCTTCAGTTTTTCCCCATCAGCTGAAATCTTTCTTTGTTTGGCCTTACTGATAATATAGCATAGAATAGGTATGGGCTATTTGCAGCGCCAGTAGAAGCGGCATCAACCGCTGAATGGCTAAGCAAAAATTCTATTGAACACTGGTTCTAAACTTAACTTAACTTAACGTTACTTATTTTATAATAATATTATAAGAATAATATATTTCAGAGACAAGAAATAAAAATACAATATATATCCCATAGACAATAAAATGTTACATTTCGACTTTTGCAAGATATTGAATCAATGAAGGGATCATTTTCGACCCTATGAACCATATATATTCTTTATCAGCATCAAAAACTGAGTCGATCTAGACATATCCGGCTTAAAATTAATTTTTTCAAAATTTTGAAAATTTTATAAGGGGTCGTTAAAATTGTCAAAAATTGGCAAAAATTTTAACTCTCTTAAATTTTAAATTAAGTATGCAGATTTATAAACCTTTAAAAAACCAACACAGCAGCGCTTTCCAAACTGAAATTAATGCCTTTTTGTTTTACTTACAAAATTTTTAAACTTTAATATTTTATATGATAATTTAGATCTAAAATCCCTATAATTTTCATGTCTTAGTTATTGTTAGTGGTCAAAATGCTACTGATTACCTAAAGTCATATATATTTTTTCGTTCACATCCAATCAGGCCTTTTCCCACTGTAGAACTCAGTCTATAATCGTTGCACACTCTCACTCACTCACTCACATACGCATGAAAAAAAAGACGTACAAAGACGTATATATTTTAATTAAATTCGTGATTTGCCTGGGCGCTTTGTTGTTGCTATTACTTTGTTGCCGAGAACGGCAATCCCCATTGAATCGAATCGCATCGCATCACTTGCCGCCGAGCTGCGAAGCTGATTGCTTGGCGCCTGGAGAACTCTCGCGAGCTGGGAATCCGAAGTCCCAAATCCCAAACCCCAAATCCGTAATCCGTAATTGGGTTTACTACTCCGCCGGGGTGAAGTGTCGCGTCGGGTGCTCACGATTTCAATTAATCCGCCAACGGCAATAACCAGCTTGTTATTGTTAATTTTTTATATTTAATGTGCTTTCAAGCTAATCTCTGCGGCAGAGACGATTTCGGTTTTAAGTGACCCAGAAAAGATCTGGAACTGTGCGGGAAACTGGGTCAGAGTGCCAAAAAAAAAAGAGTCAAGCAAGTCAAAGCCAGAAAATAGTGTGAGCAAAAAAGTGAAGAAAGAAAATCCGAATAGAAGCGGCAACAAAACGGCATGAACTTGGAAAGCGAACGGGCCCACCTATTATAGTTGACCCCTCCTCAACTGGCCGCCACCATGAAGGGCATCTGCGGCGAGCAGCTCAACAATTGCATGCTCCTCGGCGACTGCGAGAACAGTGACAATGGTCCTCCGGGATTCCCCGCCGAGGGGGAGCCAGTGGAGGCCGATGAGTCCGGCGGCGGAGGTAGAGGTGGAACATTGACCTTTGCCGCTCGCCGCGTTCGAAATCGACAGGTGCACAGCATGGCCGTGAGATCGGGCAGTGCCTATGATACCCTGGAACGACCCTATCGCCACAACAAACTACGGGGTAAATGGGCCAAGTCGGCGGACTTTTACTTTGCCAGCTGCACTCACGCCTTCAGTTCGCTGGTCTTCTCGGATCTGGGGACCTTTGGATTACTCCATGGCGGATGGTGTGAGTTTCCCAATATCTTAAACTTTTAGTACTAAAATATAAGCCTAAAATTAAAGTCAAATCTGTTTCATTTGGTTTTAAATTAAATACCATTTGATAACTATTTAATGATTATAAATAAGAATAAATTTCCGAACATTCGTTTAATCTTTAAGCATAAATATATGAAGAAAGTTGATAGTTAATGGTATTCTAAAGAAAAATACAATTCTGTTGAACAATTTCCCCTTTCAAAACTTCAGTGAGGGTATACTTTAAAGTCTCAATGCTACCCTTACAATTGTTTTGTTTTGTTTAGCTATTTTTTTTGCGAGGGTTAAACCACTAAAGAAAAGAACTCATTGCCATTTCTTATCAAATATATTTCAATTAACTAAAGCAAAAGGTTATCGCAGCTGCCTTAATGATGGATTTAAGTCTTTTCATACTAACAGCACTCAGGGTTGTCATCACTGCAAAAAAAAATAAAATATATATTAATAAAGCAACTTTCCCTAGAACTTTAGCCAAGTTAATACTTGCCGAAAACAGGTTTTAAACAGATTAAATCGCAGGTCATTGTCGGGTTATTAGTTAATTACAAAATTGCACTGTTCTCCATGTTTAAGATAAGCCAAGCTAATGATATACTGCTCACCACATGACAAATCATAGTAAGAGTATATAACTTAAAAGGCTTAGTAATGGATTAATAATAGGGGTAGGTTGGGCATTAGTCAGACTATTGTGATGATTATCGTGTTATGTATAAATAGTTTGAGAATTTTATTCAATTCTGTGGTTTCTAGATTTATATATAAATTGACGAGTATTTTATCATAAAGATTAACTTGAATTCTCATATAATGTATATAATTATAATTACATTTAAACCTTTCCTCCTCTCTGATAGTATTCTTCATCATCTCCTACCTGATGGGCATGATCTTTTACTCCCTGCCCATATTTCTGATCCAAGCGTTTTTGGGTCAGTTCTCGTCTTCCGGTTCCATCTCAGCATTTCGTGTGGCGCCCATTTTTAAAGGTAACAATATTTAGATTAAATATATATAACTAAATAATAAATATATGAATTAAAAGCTGAATAATGTCATATTTTTGGCATACTTTCAGGCATCGGCTATGCCATACTCCTCCTCAATCTGGGCACTCTCACATATTATAGCATCGGAGCTGTGGTGCCCCTTATCTATACCGTTAACTCACTGCATGCAACAATACCCTGGATGAGTTGCAATAATACATGGAACTCGGAGAATTGTTCCCGCCATGAGGATTACGATGTCGATGTGAGTTTTGTTAAAGTGTATTAAAGATTATTTATTATATTTATTATTGCATTTACCGACAGGATATACGGGTAGATCCTCACTCCACAGTGGAGTTCTTTCGGTAAGAGATTGATAAATTTACTCCAAATTGGATTGTTGAGTTTATTTTCCAACCAGATCAAACATTGCCTCGACGGGAGAAGGTTCGGAAGCCATGACCATATCCTGGTCCATGCTAGTTGGAGTTTTGGCCATTTGGCTTGTGGTCCTGGCCCTCCTGCTTAAGCCAGTGGCTTTTGTGAGTGTCTCCTAGAGGGAAAATAATTATAAAATAATTAAATCTTTAATTTTTTTTACAGATTGGCAAGACGATGCGATGTGCCTGTGTACTGATGTTTGCCTTCTTTGTGGCCGTGTTCTTCTATTCCGCTATTCATGAACGCATTGATCTTGATACTTTGAATTATTACTGGATGCCCCAACTAGATAGCTTCAATAGCCTGTTTGCCACGAGCCGTTGTGCCTTCCTGATGGCCGGAGTAGCCCTGGGTCCTGGGTGGGGCAGTGTCGTCACCTTGGCCAGCTACAACAGTTTCCGGAGCGATGCCGAGAGGCTGAGTGTTTGGGTGTGCCTGACGCATGTCACCATCGGGTTGATGGGACTCCTCTGCTGCAATGTGGCGCATGATCACTTTGAAGGTGAGCTAGAAGCATTGAAGAAATATTAGTATTAAATTATAATTAATTTAATTATGTCTTTATATTTCTTCAGATCATGTGGGCATGATTCCCTTGCATGTGGATGAGAAACATCATATGCAGTTTCTATATCTCTGCTTCTCCTATTTCTTTGGCCGATTCAGCACAACACCAAATCTCTGGGCCTTTCTATTCTTTGGCATGATTTTTCTCTCGGAACTCTGTGCCTTGGTGAGTCTTTTTTTTATACTACTAATATCCTAACTTAAATTATTGTATGTATATTATTTGATTTTAAAAAAGGTCATCCAAATGATGTCAGTAGTGACTGCCTTATTCGACGAGTTCGAAGCCCTGCGTTCGAAAAGAATTCTTGTGATTGGCTCTCTGGTCTTTCTCCTGTCAGCCTCGTCTGTGTATTTTTGCACTCAGGTGGGTTATATCTGCTTAAAGGATTTATTAATTAATTATTAATGGATATTTCCCTTTCAGTTGGGCTTCAGCCAGCTAACTCAGCTGCCCAGCCTGGCCATGTTCACTCAGTTGTTCATTTCGGGAGTACTTCTCATGATGACCACCTGGGTATATGGCCGCGTCCGTTTCCAGTGCGATTTGCAGTTTATGCTCGGCAAAACGATCTCAAGCTTTAAAATATTCTTTATACGCTTCGCCACGCCCATTTTTCTGGGACTGTGTCTGGTAAGTGAATTTAGAGATTCAAAATCTTGAGTTGTAATAAGTTGATTCCTATAGAAATGGAGATTTTCTTACGAGCTTTTTTCCCATTTCAGTTCCAACTTAGCATCTTGTTTTGGCGCGACCAAATCCACAATGTCCTCATTTGGGTTAGTCAGGGCCTGGTCCTCCTGACGGCCATCTCCTACATGGTCTACAAGGTGACCCAAACGAATGGACCTGGCCGGCAGCGATTGCAACAGTGCCTGGCCCCACACGATTGGCATCCCGTGGATGCGGATAATCGACGGTTCTACGAGGAGATAATGGGCATATCCGAGATGCTGGTGATCGATGCCAATGCCAATGCCACTTAGTGCCTAAAATACCGAATAATACTCTCTTAGAATCAAAAAGCGCAACACTTAATAGGGCTAATGAACTGAACTGAACTGAAAAACTCACTTTTACTATACACCCATGCACACACATGGTCACACTGAACATCCGCACTAACACACTCGGTCACACTAACACACTAGAATATACGGATATCTATACGGATGCCGATCAGGTGCAATTGCTGATCGTTGATCGTTTTTTGAATTGAGAAGTTGTACTGATATTTTCCAAATGCTAGCTATAGTGAACAATAAACTGGTGATATTTGGTAGTAGTTGCCAACTAAAGAGTTCAACAAGCTTCGGCCAAAAAAAATATATATATATTGTTACGAATCAATAAAGTTTTACCTTTTTAGCCATGTACTGGATAATGGAATTTTCGTTCTTTGCTAGTTATTTTTAATAATTTTTCTTTATATTTTTGTAGTTATAGAAACTGAATTTTGGTAATCTAAGTTTTAATAAAAACAATATATATAGATTTTAGTACAATATATATACTCTGATATTTATTTTATTTATTGTGGTTATTTTTTTGGTTTATTTTATATAGTTTACAAAATTAAATGGTCTACTTTTGGGATGCTCGCTGTAGTTTTTTAGTAAATATTTATTTAAGTGATAAGTATTTTCAAAGAATCACATCAAAGGGTTTTTTTCTGACAAATACATTTTAAGTTTGATTATCACAATCAAAGGATGAACTTAGCTTGAACTGTTGTTGTTTATATTTTTGAGAAAAGCGAATTCAACGAATTAAGCGTCTGCTTTAAAAACAAACAAAAGATAAGGGTAAAAAAATCCCCAATATTTTAATAATAATAATAATAATTTTATAGAAAGCCTGAATATTGGAAAAATGAAATAACAACAATAATAATAATGTTTCTCTTCGATCATAAATATATGTATAATCATTAGAAATGTATGGTTCCTAAAACATAGAAAGGTTATCAGGGATGAATGTTTTAAATTAACCTTAATCGCATTAACAACCTCATAAACACTTCGAAAGTTCTAATTATGATCATCTTCAGCGCTCTCAATGATAATCCCCGATTAGAAAGTGTGCAAAGTGATATGAGAGATTCAAAGCGATTGACTTAATCAACGCATAATTGAAATCAACAGCGAGAGCGTAAATATTTTTATTTGCTTTTAGATTACTCATAGAAAAATTTCCCCCACACCAGCTTTGATGCCAATCCGCCCATTTTCCGAGAGCACGAAAAATATCAGTTTCCAGTTCCAGCATCGGAATGAACTTGGCACAATGTACGATGACGAGATGATGACGAGAGCAAATAAGTGAGACAGACGCAGATATAAGAGCTTTGATAATGCAAAAGCAGAATGAATTAAACAAAATGGATTAAAATGTATAAATACCTTGTGATTTTTATGAATTTATACCAGGAACTGAACTAATGAATTTCCAAATATTTAACAAACTTTAAAATATAGTTTGAAATGCTTAGAAAACTAGAAGAAATACTTTTCAATTTTACAAATTATTTTTCACCCATGTGATATAATATCAAACAGGTCTAGTAAAACGTAATAGAAAAAAGTCAAGTAAAGTGATGCCATTATTAATTCCCAGAATAATTTGCAAAGCTTTCTCCGATGTAATCTATATTAAACAATTATTTAAATTTCGCTGATCAAATGAATCATGAGCTAGAATACTCCGAGACAGGGTATCCACTGGGATGATGAGCAAAACAGCGGCTTGCCGTTGGAATCGGATTCAGTGCGCCGGGATCGGTTCTACTAATTAGTCCGTCAATTTAAAGCAGCAGCGCTCGCGGATCGCTAGCAGTAAATAAATAAAACATATATTATTTAAAGCCACCAGAAGCCCTTTAAAAATCTACAAAGTATCTAAAGAAGTCGCTTCACAAATATGGTGTACGAGACATCATATGGCACTGGGCAAAAGCCCTTCACTCCCGATCCGAATCGAGGGATGTGGGAAAAGCCATCGGATTATATATTTGCCTGCTTTGGCTTGGCCCTGAAACTGGATCTGTTTTCGGCCTCATATTGGTTCTTCTTCGATATGGGCAGTAAGTAGAGAATATATAATATATATATACTAAATATATCGGAGAGAAGTGATAAGCCTCCGGGGTTAGCCTAATCTTTTTAGGGGCGTTGCACTGCCAATTCCCTGTCTTACCTATAGATGTGACATATGTCTGCCAGAGAGTCATTAAGGCTTTAAATTTAATCTGTATTTTCAAATATTTAAGATCACCAGGTGCCTTTTACATTAATCTATATGTTTATAATATATTTATTTGAATGATTATTTTAGCAATCCCTTATTTTTGATAGTGAAGGGTCTTAGTTGTTTATTTTATACTTATTTATACAGAAACTTATTTAAAATATATTTACTTTTCAGTTTTTAGCATGATGCCCTACTTTATCTATATGGTGATCTATCTAGTGCCCATTTTGGTCATACACTCCTTCATGGGTCAGTTCTCCAGCAGTGGCTTCATCTCCGCCTTTCGACTCTCGCCCTTCTTCAAAGGTACTTATTAAAAAATTATATCAAATTGTAGAAATAAATGTATATTATCTGACTTGCAGGAATGGGCTATGTTAGTGGATTCCTCGCAATCTCCATGCTAATATACTATAGCATTTTTGCGGCAGTTCCTTTGCTCTTCATGATCAACTCTTTCAGACCCACGCTGCCCTGGAGCTGCGAGGGCATGAAGTCCTGGTACAATCAATCTTCAGACACATCAACTGTTAAGAAATTTACTAAAAATTTAATTTCTAAGTTTTTAATTTTATGTATATTTTTCATATAGATCTGCAATGTAACGGATGGAAGAGAGAGCTTGGACAGCGATTACAGCGAATACAATTCGTCATTTTACCTCAAAATGCTCGAAGTTCCATCTGTTTTATATTTTCAGTAAGTTTTTTAGTTCATATTTATCGTAAGAGCGAACTATTTTACGTTTTACCTTTTATTCTGTCGGCTTGATACAAATTAAATTGAATGAGTTTATTTTTTAAATGAAAAGCTTTATTAAATATTAGGCAAGAGCACGAATTAAAGTTAATTGCTATTTCAAGGCTCATTATTAACTCGCATTGCTCTCTCTCTCTGCCTCTCATTTTTGGTTTTATTTGTTTATTTATAAATCGTTATAACCAAAGCTCTCTTGATGCTGGAAATATAAACTGCTTATTAAATATGCTTTGGGGGTTCCAAATATAAATGCAAATTGTTTATAAAGTATGTTTTCTGATCAATCATTGATAAAATGAAAGTGATGATAATTATTTAAAACAAATGATTGTTTATGTATTGTAGGTTTGAAAATAATTTAATCGCAATTTCAATGGTATATAAACTTCGGCTTCCCGAAGTTAGTTTTCTTTCTTGTTTTATTTATTATAATTTCTTGTCAAATGTTTTTCTTTTTAGAAGCCACTTTGAGAGTATGGAATATATGTATGGTTATGAGGAGGATAAGGACTACGACCTCTCGTGGCACTTTGTGGGCTACTTCGTGCTAATCTGGGGCATAATCGCCCTGATCTTCTACAAGTTCTCTGAAACGGCCAAGTTTGGTAAACTCATTAGATATATGGTGCTGGGAACACTGGGCCTGCTCGTCGTCTGCTTCGTGCGATTCCTCTTCCTGCCGGGTGCCATGAAGGGACTGCTCCGCTTCGCAACGCCACATGATCGCGATATGATGGGCATGGCATCCACGTTCGTCATGGTGCTCCACGCCTTTGGAGCCGGCTGGGGCAGTGTGATCACTCTTTCCAGCTTCAATAAGTTCCAGACGAACATCATGTCCTACAGTTGGATCATTTCCTTTGGCCAGATCTTCATTTACATACTGTTTGGCATGGTTAACTTTATGCTGGAGTATTACTTTCAAGGTTTTTATTTCTATTATTAATTTATTATTTATATACTATATTTACCCAATGCAGAGGTCAAGGTGGCATCATATGACACTCATGTGATGTCCCATTGGATGTTGTTCTTGTCCAGTGCCAGTGTCATGGCCTCCATGGAATTTGCCAACTTGTGGACCTTTATTTACTATACCATGCTCTTGATGGCCAGTCTTACAGTGATGGTGGGTACTGTACATGTATTGTAAGCACCTGATTTTATACATATGTATTTATATTCCCTTGCAGATCACCCAGATCTTTACCATCTTGCAAAGTTTGTTTGATGAGTTCGAGCAGCTGCGAGGGCGGAAACAGGAAGTGACCTTTGGCTTAATTGGCGGACTTGCCCTCTGTTCGTTCATCTTTTGCACAAATGTAAGTTCATCTGGCTCAATTACCATTTTAATTGTAATTTTGCTATTTATTTTATTATTCGACAGGACGGCGTTTCCTACTTTTCCGCCTTGTCGCTGGATGCCATTTTCTCGCACAGTGTCCTCCACTTGCTCCTCCTGCTGGTGGTCTTGTGGATCTACGGACGAGAGCGATTCCAGCGGGACATTGAGTTCATGCTGCGTCAACCCTTTGCCTCCTGGAAGGTGTTCATACTCCGCTTTATGTCGCCATTTATTCTGGGAATTTGTCTGGTATGTCATAGCTAACATATTCTCAATTCTGTAATAGTGTTTAAAAAATTGTATACTTTTTAAACCAGCTTGCGGGGTTATCTGCGGCCATTTTCGAGCACTCTTACTCCTCCATGGTGGTGCTTGTGATGGCCATTTTTCTGCTGGGCCTTCCCCTGCTCTTCATTCCCGGCTACGGGCTGTACTACCTTTACCAGAGCTCGGGCACCTTCTGCGAACGATTCAGACGCACCTGCCGGCCCACAGACTGGTATCCGGTGGACATGGAGGACCGGCAGCGGTACGAGGAGTTCGTGGGCAACACCGAGATGACCCACCAGCTCTTCGAGGTCACCGAGGAGGTCAACTAAGTGCAACTGAAAGTTGCAAATACTCTTTATTGGCTGTACAATTTTTGAGATACATGTTCTACAAATATATATTCACACATATTGTAAGAGCTTGTACCGAAAAACCATAAAGCTATTTGCGGAAGCCAGTGTCGCTCTCGGACATAAAGTCTGGCATATTGTGCTGGCGTCGAAAGGCCTCGTATGCAGCCCGATCATCCGGATCCGCCGGCGTCCAGTCCATCGGCTTGAGGCGTCTCTTCAGGCTGCTGCACAACGTGGCCCGCTTCCGGATCATGATGTACACCATGTAGAGCGGTATGAACATCACGGAGGACACGCAAATGGCCCAGCCCAAGGCAACGGCCCACGTTGGATACGAAATATTGTTATACGTAATGGTCCTCATGAATACAGCGGTCATTACAAATATGAACTGAAAGAAGGAAGGATGGGTGGGTGATCACAGGTACCACAGGTTATCTTAATCAGTACTCCTTAACTCTAATTCTAACTACCTCTTGAAATGTGTGTGCGTGGATCTTAGTTAGTATTAGGTTCTCAGTTTGAGTGCTCTCAGCCAAAGAAACTAAGTTATTTAGTCGCTCTCTCAAACTCTCTCTCTCTCTCTCTCTCTCTCTCTCTCTCTCTCTCTCTCTCTCTCTCACTTTCTCTGCTCATTCTCTTTACTCGGAGAGTATAAATACGACCACTGACTTTGCGCTGACCTCATTCTGTCCGCGGCCTCCGCTCTGTGTACATCGATAGTGATAGTGATAGTGATTACACTTCGACCCCAAACATATTACCTGACCTATGTAATATATTTGGATAACCAGGAAGAAGCGTAATTGATGTCTACAAAAATATAGCTCTGCATTGGAAGCAATAATGACGTGGATTCTTTACTAAGGTAAATCTTAACCATGACAATTATATTTTGTAAACAGATAATGTAGGAGGAATCAGGCCTATGTTTATAATCAGATGTGATATCTATGCATTTATTTCCCAACTAATTCCCTTTTACCATGTACCCCATAACTTCATTTAAATTTAAAGTGATTCAGCAATTTGTATTAAGAATATCTAAAACTCAAAGTAAACAGCCTAACTTAATTACAAATTATTCACGAACATATTAGTTTCCCAACTGACCCTGACTTAAGTGCCAACTTTAGATAGATTATTACTATCTATCTATCAGTCAGAAGCCTCGAAAGCAGTGAAGGAGTCATTTCCGACCCTATATACCATGTATATTCTTGATCAGCATCAACAGGCGAATCTTTCTTGCTATCTTTGGGCAAACAAAATTTTTTCAGAAATTTCCTATTTTCTGAAAAAAAGGAAAGGGGTAACATCATGAAAATTTGCGAAAATCGGCCAAATATTCACATTTTAAATGGAGTATGCAGTTTTATTATACTGCTTAAAATTAATATACGAACGGTTTCCGAATTGAAATGCATTTAATGCATTTTTGGCTTAGTTATGGCATTTGAAAACTTTGATATTCCCAAAAGATATAGATAAAATATACCAGGAATACAGATATTTTAGAATTTCTTGGAGGTATACGAAGGCCATTAAGCCAATAATTGGAATCTTAGATATTTAATAAAAGAATATTGGGAAAAATACTTTACAGACAATTGTTTAAATTTTTGTAAGGGGTAACATCATTATAATGGTTATTAATTCATTCAAATTGGTTATATGTTTTTAATAAAATAAAAAAGCCCGTGATCCTATGGCTAACTGCAAGGGTCTACAAACTGCTTGTTAATTTTAATCTTAATCCCAGGTACCAATGCTACTCTTCATTTGTAGTGTAGGCGTGTGATAGTGATAATATAAACGCTGCTTACGATAAGAACCATAGGAGTTACCCACTGCCACAGAATCCTCCAATAAAGACCGGGTCTCTTGCCGAGCATAAACTCCACGTCTAGCATAAAATTCTTGACGCCATACACCCAGGACACCATTATGATTTCCACGAAGCAGATGGCGCACACCGACAGGGGCGAGGAGTACCAATCGAACAGCTGGACAATGAACATGCCGCCCTGGGGAGTGAGGCGAGGCTTGAGGGGGAAGGACTCAGGGAGGAATCTCCTGTGGGATCAACTCACATTGGTGCACATTATAGTGGCGCTCAGGAATAAGATCAGGCAGGCGAACATCGTCAGCAAATACTTGTACTTCCTCAAACACCGCAACTCGTCCAGAATGGAGGTCGTAACGGCCTCCAGTTGAACAAACTGCCAAAAAGAGACTGAAACAGTAGCAGGCTGAGAATTCTTTCAGAGACGAGACGAAACTCACGAGGGAGTCAATGCCCAGCAGGAAGAGCATCACGTAGAACAGCAGCCCCCAGAGCTGTGGGACAGGCATCCTGGTTATGGCCTCCGGATAGGTGACAAAGGCCAGACCCGCTCCACCTGTGGCCACATCTGCCACGGGTACGCCCGACTTGTCTTTTTAGGATTACGTTTTTCAGATTACTAGAAAATAATCACGAGGCGACGCACTTACACGAGAGGAAGCCCAGCACCGAGAAGACCACCAAGCCGGCAAAGATACTGGTGAAGATATTAATTGCAATTATGAGATACGTATCGCACTTGGCCTTGTTGCGGAAGTCACTGAAGCTGGCCATGTTGATAAGTCCGCCCCAGCCGGGTCCCATGCCAAAGAACATCTGGATTGCGGCATCCGTCCAGACCTTGAGGTCCAGCAAGCGTTTCCATTCGGGATACAAAAAGAACTTGATGCCCATCCAGGAGCCGGGCAGGGTAACCCCTCTACAGAACAGAATCAGGAGCAGCAGATAGGGAAAGGGAACGGTGAAGTACACGACTTTTCCTACCTTTAAATGGAGAAGAGTCGTAGAAAAAACTGCACTGGATTGGACTAGATATACTTACAGTTTTGATACCGCCGGCCAGGCATGCATAGACAATGAGCCAGGTTATTATCAGACTTATCCACTGTGGCCACACCATCCCGCCCAGATCAGCGATGCCCGTCGATAGCCTTAGCACTTCCAGACTGAAAGAAATAATTGGCTTTCAATAGATGGAACCTACGGAACCATCGAGTTTACCTCCTAAAACTCACTTGAAGAACTCATCCGACGGAGTCTGGAAATACGTTTGGTTTTGGGGCCCCGCCTAGAGACGAATATATTATTAGTATTCACTTATATTCTAATTGAGTTCTATTGTAATTACCCCTTGCATGCTGACACAATGCGGTGTGTTCCAGGGATTATTGCAATCCTGCCACGGCACCTTCTTGAAGAAGCAGTAGGAGATCATGCGAATGGGATACGAGATTAGCACCGAATAGTAGCACACACAGTAGACATTCACGATGACCTGGGCGATTCCGGCTCCCCGGAAGAGGGGGGCTAGCCGGAACATGCCCGTGCATCCGGTGCCGGAGAATTGACCGATTAGCAGTTCAAGGTAGAACAGAGGCACGCCGGCCACAATGACCATCAGCATGTAGGGTATCAGAAAGGCAGCTAAATGGGGCGAGGCAATGAATATTATTAAAAAAAAAAAGAAAATACTGAAGGAGGGGGAAAAAAGAGCATCCTTCGAGCCGGATTTGAACCAGCGACCTATGGATTTCAACATTTATCGCGATTCAGTAACCCTGATGGTACAAGAGCAAGCGCTATCTGGGACCGTTGGTATTGTTTGGCCCAGAGTCCTGCCACTGCTCGCATCACCAAGCCGCCGGAAACTCTACAGTCCACCGCTCTACCAACTGAGCTATCGAAGGCGTCGCCCAACGGCTGTCCACATGCCGCTCATAAGTGCAGCAAGCTTTCCCAGCTTTCACTCGAAAGCACACAGCCTAAAAATAGCAAGTGCCGCGCGCTCTCTCTCTCTCTCTGTCGCTGGATTGAGTGCTTGCCGGAAAGATGGCAAATGAGTGGGTTTCCCCTCTCTCAAAACTCACCGCCGCCACTTCGATAGCAAAGATATGGGAATCGCCAGACATTTCCGATGCCAATGGCATAGCCCAGGAGCGATAGGATGAACTCGTGCTTCGTCTTCCATTTGCCACGCTCCCCATCCCTTACGATGCGTTTGTCCTTGCGCTCCTGATTTGGATCTGGATTGGCCATAATAGTCACTCCAGGTAGTACCTCGCAAATAGCATGGTCAGGAAATCTCCAGGGAAATGTGAATGTGGAGATGTGTCAGCTGTGTCAAGTGAACAGTTGACTATGTTCCAAAAAATAATTTAGATGCAAAATATTTATATTGATAATTTTGTATCCTTATGTCATTTCATTTTTTTGTTTTATGTTTCTGTCAAACGAAGTGACAGAGTTCAGTTTCAAATATAATTAAACGAATGCTTCGGATAACGAGTCTTTTAAAGGTTTTTAGTAAATGTTATAACACTTTTATTGGCAACACTTTTAGCATCATTTTTGATGTATGTACGTTTAGGTCAGGTTTAGTTCACGGCATTCATTACGGCTAGCTTACGGACTATGTGAGTGGGTTTTTTGTGTGTGTGTTAAAGCTTCGATTTCCTTGTTGGTTATTAACATTAACAATATACATAATATTGTCTAAACAGCACTAGATTCTCCAGAGAAGCGTGGCCAGGAGCAATGTCACCATCGCAGGCACAGCTTTCACACAGTCTGGACCTGAACTGTGACCCGCTATTGCCGTGTAGTCATCCGGACGCTTGGACTCCCGCTTCTCGGCCTTTTCGCACAAATTTCCACAGTTGGCATGCTCGCAAATATCGCAGATATTGGACTTGGGTGCCCTGTAGAACTGCCGGGCACGACGAGCTAGTAATAGGGAGAAATATCTTTTAGATGCAAAAATATCTCACAGATGCAAGTAGTATTATCTTACCACTGTCGTAGTAATCGTACATGACCACGGCCACGGGTCGGTGCTTCGTCACCTTCACCGTCTTGTAGGCATGCAGAGTGGGACACACCTCCCGCCTGTCTAGGTAATCAAAGTATATCACCACCTTGGTGTTCCTATTCTGCGTCTCCACCTTCTTGATCCGCTCACTCGACTCCAGTGTGGGCAACGTGTCTCGGTCCACAACAAAGCCACTGGGTAGGTTAACCTCCATCACGGCCATGTTGGAACGCTGCTCCTCCTCGCCCACAACGGAGACAAAGCTGGCACAGGCCGAGAGATGGAGATAATCCGCATGAGAGTTCCGATTCACTGTGGGATCGAGGACGAACCGAGGCCAGGCACTGGTCACATTCGTATTATATTTGTAGCTAACCTGGGCCAAGGCCATGCCCCGGCCAGTGGCCGAGATACTTAGGTTCTTGAGATTGTTGGGTAGCTTTAGGATGATATAAAGTTATAATTAAATATTAATATTTATAAATGAAAAGTGATAGCTCACCTCAACCGACTGCAGGGCCAGTGAGTTGCCAGCATTCACATTTATGATGGTTTCTGCACCCTCTCCGTAGTGGAAACCCACTTGGACATTGTTTCCCTGACTGGAGAAGCGCTCGGCAAAGGTGAGCAGGGCCTGTAGACCCACCACCGTGTCCTGGGAGGCAACAAAGCCTCCCTTGGGGTTCCTTTGATCCATTAACCAGTTCAGAACAGGCAAAGCATCGCCCACCAGGTTATTCTCGAGTAGAGCCAAGGCGGCATAGGCAGAGATCTCCACATTGACACTCCGGGTGGCATTGTACCAAGGTGATTGCTGCTCACCAGACGGTGCCGTCTTATTCCACCATTTAAGACCATCTGGAAAGAGTTTTGTGTAGTTATCTATGAAAATATTAAATATTTAACTAGAAAACCTACCTCCTTGGATGGCCATTGAGTCCAGACGCTGCAGGAAAGCAGCCTTGGCATTGTGATTGGCCCTGGTCAAGACATAGGTTCCTATGGCCATGGCATGGAGATTACTAGAGCCATCCAGGCCCCTGGTGATGAAGTCCAAGGCCTTGTTGATATTATTCCGATACTCGGGATAGAGATCCTTAGGAAAAGAAATGTTTTCAATAACCATTTAACCATTTAACCATTTTCTTCGCCTGCTTACCACATTTTCCATTAGTGCCAGCGTAACAAAAGCCGTCAGACTAATACCATCATCGCCAAATCGCTCAAAGACATCGCCATGCTCCTCGAAACCACCATTTCCGGACTGCACACTGGCCAGATACACGAGAGCAGACTGCAGGACATGGCTGTCCACTTGGGTGAAAGGCGCCGCCTGACGCAGGGATCGTGCCACATAGGCTGTCAGCCAGGTGGAACTCCTTTTGGCGTCCAAGCCAAAGGCACTAAAGGCTCCATTCTCATGACGGTAATAGAGAAGTCTTTGATATCCCACAGCCAGGTTGTTGGTGGCTTGCAGTTCCACTTCCGGGGTGAGTTGACGAAGGCGCTGCAAAAAAAAACACATTGAATATATCATCTAGGACTCCCTAGGTGGTCCTTCAACTTACTCCCAAGTACCGCAACACCATGAGATTAGGCACAAAGTTGACCATTGTTTGTTCCCCGCAGCCGGTGGGCAATAGGATCAGGTTATTCAAATTCCCGACAATACCACCAATGAGATCTCCCACGGCCGACACCTCGATGCTGGTGGACTCGGGTATGGCATTCCTTGGCACTTGGATGGTGACATTCCTCCTATTCCTGGCATTCGAGTTGAGCTCGAAGAGGAAACCGCGATTCACACGCTCCGTGGCACCGGGATGCTCAACCAGCAGGGTTTGCTCCACAGTATCGCCGGCCTGCGAGGAGGCAGCCATGGCCCTGACAGGCAGTGCACCCACTCTCCTGGGCGTGACGATGAATGACACCGATCGGGAGGATTTACCAGGAACCTTAAGGGAGCGGCGGCTGGTGAGCTCCACTTCTGTTAAACAATCAAATTAGAATTAATAATTAAGATAAAGTTACTGAGTTACTTGGCTTGTCGGTGGCCTTGGGATCCAGCTGTGGGAAGTCAAAGTCCTGGGCGGTGTTGTAAAATGTGACCTCCACACTCAGGTCACTCTCTCGGTTGTTGTGCACCACAAAAGGAATGGCAATGAGTTCATCTACAAGTTGAATATTTAATAAGCAAATTAAAATGAAATATATTATCCTAAGACCCACCTCTTTTGATGGAGTAAGGCAGCTCCGTGGTTATGTAGAACTCCTTGTAGGTCTCCATTTTGCCCATGGGCGAGGAGAGTCCCAAGCCATTAACCGGATCCAAGGCAAAGGCAGAAACCACCCAGGAAGTCATCTCGCTGGGTATCCTACGGTGAATCGAGTTCCTGCCATCACTGCTCGCCGAGATGTTGAGGAAGAGCCAGGTGTCAGCCGGTTGCCGCATCACATGCACCCTCGGATTGTGCCAGAAGGGTTTGGGTGTGTAGGAGAAGGCATAACGACCCTTGCCCGGTGGCAGGGTATTAACCTCGATCTTGTGGGCGGGTCCAATATCCGTCTTGCGCACAGTGGTCAATTTGTCCTCCTCAGGACCCGTGGAGGCTTCACGTCCTATGACAGGAGTACTCTCAGCTTCCTTTTCCACAAAGTAATCCGTGTTGGACATGGTTATAACACCGGATTCCTTGCCAGGTGAACCCACTGGCGAGTTGACATCACTAAGTTCGTAGGAGCGCAGGGCATCCATGAGTCGTTGATGGGTCAAGTCGTGGCCACTTCTCAGGGAGGCCGCATTTTGATCCACCATCATGAGACCCACATAGGAGTAGGGTTTGCTGCTGATGCCAATGTCGATATCCTGGCCAGGTGGAGCTCGTATCGGGGCCTCAATTTGAACCTAAGAAGTAAAACCAAGGCTTTAATTAAATGAAGAAATGTATCTACTATATAGGGAAGTCTTTGAAATTTATTTATTATTTAAATATTACCGCATTTAATAGGTTCTCCTGCAATTGTATGATCTGCTCATCGTAAACAAACTCGCCATTTATAACAGTGTAAACAAGCAGCTTGGCACGCGGCATCATGGCAAATGAGGCCAGGAATTTGATGGTGTGGAAAGTGCCATCGCTTACCTAAGGAAAATATATATTAACCTATTGTTTTTACAGTGTATTCCAAACTTACATCCACGCTGCGCGAGAGTATTATATCTCCACGTCCCACAACCTGATACATAAAGTATTTAATGGGCTCAAAGGTGCGCACCACCACGGAGATCTCCTGATTGACAGTGGGCCTGGATATAAATAATCAAATAATAATAATCAGTTAATCAAATAATAAAATATATACTCACTTATCATTCAAGACCTTGGCTGTGATATAGTTTCTGCTGTGAAGATGTTTCCTGGGCACCTTGCCCACCTCACTAATCACACCTTGGTAATCCACGATGATGGAATGGAACTCATCCTGGTCGCCAATGGGCACTGTGAACTTCATCTTGATCTCGCCACTGGCATCCAGGCTGTAGGACGAGCGATTGTACATCTCACTGCTGCCATAGACATTCGTGAGATAGGCTTCGATCTGGGGATCAAAGTCCCTCAGAGGACCACCATCATTTCGGGCTATTCGGGCCTGGAAAAATTAAAAATTTGTAATATATTTAATAATATTTCAAGATAATTTTTAAGTCCAACTCACTGTGGCCTCAAAGGGTACTCCGGGTATATAGTAACTGGGCACCTTGATGGTCTCCACGCGATAGTGATTCAAGTGCAGGGTCAAAACTGTCGAATAATTCTGCACAGAGCCCGTGGACTTCTCCTCCACCAAGGCATCCAGAAGATACTGCCTCTCATAGTCCTGCTTCAAGTGCAACTCATTCTCGATATCAAACTCAAAGTAGGCATTGCCATCGATGGGCACCACTTTCCGGGTGATGAGATCATTGACAAAGGGCTGCAGGGAGCCAAAGAAGGTGGGATAAATCGACAGAGTAGCCTCACCCACAATTGGCTGGCCAAAAGCGTAACTAAAGGAGGGAAAATATTCAATTGAATAATACCTTTAAAATATATATTTACACTTACTGTGCCCTCACGGTGGCTGCTATTTTGCCATCCTTGTAAATGGCATTCCTGGGCGTATCGATATCCACCACAAACTTGGGCAGGATATGGTCCAGGATCTCGAAAGTCTGCGTGTGCATTTGCTCTGACACCTCCACCACTATGGACCAAGTTCCAAATCTTGGATAGTCCGAGAGTCGCAGTTCGTTTGAGTAAATAGCATTCGTCAGGCGAACATCCTTGTAGCTCCGGATTATATTGTCACCCGAATCCTTGATATCCACATGGACACGTCCATAGGCCCGAGCTGGTTTCA